TGGCATTCTCATTAATATCTTTGAAGGTCTCACTAAGTTCCTTGGAGGTTTGTAGAAGATTCCTCAGTAACCTTATAAGTGTGGTTTTGAACTCTATGTCTAGTAGTTTGCTTTCCTTCATTTCTTTCATTTGTGACACGTTTCTTTGTCTCCACATTTTGGCTGACTGCAAGGACCCGTTGTGTCTACAGTGGAAGAACTGATGTGCTGGAGACACCCTTATGGGGTAGGACTTGCTTCAGTGGGGCTTTGGTGCTCACTGAGTCTGCCTCTTGAGTGTGTCCCTATGAGGAGTTGAAATCTGGTATCTGACCACTGGGTACCCTGGCTCCTGGATCTCCAAGTCAACTACTGTGTGAGTCCACCCAGCAGGAGCTACAGTGATATCAGCAGATATGTCCTCTTTGTTTGGGGTTTGGAAGTTTTGGAGCTCTCTGACCAAGCTGCAGTTTGTTAGGTTAGGCTGCAATAGGGCAGGCAGTTCCTTTGCCCTGCTGCCCACAGCTTGGGTGGGGATGTAACTTCAGTGGGGCGGGGTCTCAGTGAATCACCAGGGCGGAGCAAACAGCAATGGCTGTTGTCAGCCGACTCCACGACTCCTCACGTTTCCACGTCTCGGTGTCTCTGCATCCTCGAGTCCCGCGCCCCCACAGTAACAATGATCCCTGCAAGCAGCTCTGCGAGAAAGCCACCCTTGCTTTCCAACCCGCTGCAAGACAGTCCAGTTTCTCCCTGTAGGAGTATGGGTCCCCAGAGTCTCGCCATAAAGGAGTTCAGTGCTTTCGGGAGCCTGTATCCCCTTCTGATTGAAAAAAACTGCACCCAGTTGGAGCCCCTTCACGCACTTCCCTACCTCTGCTCTTGGCGCCTCTACACCTCCTACCCAGTCTCAATGCACTTTTTTCTTTCCTTCTAGTTGTAGAATTTCCACTCAGCCAGCTTTCCCGTGGTTCTGGATGATAGCTGTTTTGTTTTTTAGTTGTAGTTTTGATGTGGTTGTGGGGGGTAGCACGTACAGGTTTATACCTTATGCTGCCATCTTGGTTCTCCAGGAACACACTTTTAAAAAAAAATTTATTGATCTTTTACAGAAAGGAAGGGAGAGGGGAAGAGAATTAGAAACATCGATGAGAGAGAAACATCCATCAGCTGCCTCCTGCACAACCCCTGCTGGGGATGTGCCCGCAACCAAGATACATGCCCTTGACTGGAATTGAACCTCGGACCCTTGAGCCCACAGGCTGACGCTCCATCCACTGAGCCAAACCGGTTAGGGTGGAACACACTTTTAAAAGACAACATTTACCTCTGTTCCTCTCCAAAACTAATTCCAATCCCTACCGAACTTTTGTCCAGTAACTCTTCTTTTTTTTTTTTTAATGTTTACAATGCCCTTCCCTTATTTGTCTCCATTCATTTTAAAGAACAAAAGGGATAACTTGTACAAAGCCCAGTTCTCAGGCTAACATCCACTTCCCTGAGGAGTTCTTGGCTTCCCTTCAGGTCATATGATTGAAAGCATTGGGCCAGGCATTTTGAAATGAAATCAAATTTTTCAGGTCCTCTGTTTGCCCTAATGATACTATTTAAATAACTCTGCAGCTGGACAGTTTCTGCCAACTACACAACATGCCTTATTATTTATTGCTTTGGAGTATCCAATTAGCTACAAGTGATGATATATAAATAAAAATGTTCAGTGGGAAACATTTTATAATGGTAGAAGTTTTCCAATATAGAACACATCCCCTATCTTCCTCTGCTCCACAAAGTCTCTGACTTCATGTCAACGAACAGTTCCTTCAGTTGACTCATTAGGAACCTACTTCTTCTTGGAGTTCTATGCTGCATAGTGACGCCTGAGTCAGTTCAAGTTTGCTTGGTGGAGTTTATAAGGTGGTAGCTACAGAAGCTTCCCCATTGCCACACTGAGTGACTGCAGAAGGTGGTGTGCACACAGGTCTACAAAAAAACTTCAGGTAAGCAGATTGTTTTGGACAGCAGTGTCTTGTCTTTTTCAGCCTTCCTATTAATTAGGATCCTGGTTCTAAAGAATTTGTATTTATGATGGTTACTAGACTTATTTTGTAACGTATATGAACACTATGTTGTACACTTGAAACTAATATACTGTATATCAACTATAATTAAAAATAATTTAAAAAAGAATTTGTATTTATATTCCCATGACTATTCTGTAACTACCAATTTGTACTTCTTAATCCCTTCACCTTTTCCACCTAACCTGACCAACTCCCCTCCCATGAGACAATGGTCAAAATTTTCTCTCTATGAGTCTATTTCTGTTCTGATTGTTTGTTTGTTTTATATTTAGTTGTTGATAGATACGTATTTATTGTCATTTTATTATTAATATTTTTTCTTTTTTTTCTTTTTCTTCTTAAAGAAGACCCTTTACATTTCAAATGTAATTCTGGTTTGGTGGTGACAAACTCCATAGCTTTTCTTGCCTGGAAAGCTCTTCATATGTCCTTCAATTCTAAATAGTCAATAATATTGTAATAACTATATATGGTGATAGATGGGCACAAGATTTATTGGGATGATCTCTTAATAAGTTATGTAATGTCTAACCACTGGGTTGTATACCTGAAACTAATATATATTGTATTTCACTGAAATGCAATAAATTGAAAAATAAAACATAACTTAAAGTCAACTCAAATACTCATCAACAGGTGAGTGGATAAATAAATTGTGGGATGCTCCTACAGTGGAACACTGTATAACAGTAAAAAAAAAGATGGAGTCTGAATGCACATGAAAACATGGATAAATATAAAAAAATACATTGTATCAAAGAAGCCATAAACAAAAGAATATATAATGTATAATTTCATTTATGTGAACAGGCAAAAATAATTGATTATTATAGATGTCAGAATAATGGTTTATCTCTTGGGGGTGGTATAGAATAACTTAAAGTAAAAAAAGAAGAAAATAAGAGATTATAGAAATCCACTCCCTTCTGGAAAAAGAAAAGAATTTTTATTTGTTAATTCATTTTTTCCCCCTTGCAAACTCTTGGACCCAAGCCCAATATTGGGAACTAATTCCTAAAAACATTGTAGGTCCCTGGAGCCAGAAAGTACTTTAAAAATCTACAAAGCCAGCATGTGTTATTTTGAACTGGTAAGATGTCCAAATCCTTTCCTTGAATTATAAAGTATTGGTATGTGTATGCCTTTCCCTGCCACCCTCCAGACCTATAGTAACACTGTGAGTAAAGACAAGAAACAACATTCTCCTTGCCTTCAATCCATGGTTCTAAAGTGTCCCTTGTCCATTTGCATAGAAAAACTCTTCCTCCTTTGAATGAAGTATCATGTGGCTAAGATGAAGTTTTACCCTTTCCTGTTTCTCTCTGACAAATTTCTCTCTAATCATTGATGTATTTGGCACCGGGTTCACAGATATTTCTCTCCATCAAACTCTTGTCACATCCCGGTGACATCTGTGATACCTACAACACCCATTTCCTTATTGACATCTCTATTTTGTAAAATATGTTTTTATTGATTTCAGAGAGAGGAAGGGAGAGAAGAAGAGAGAGATAGACACATCAGTGATGAGAGAGAATCACTGATCGGCTGCTTTGTGCATGCCCCCTATTGGGGATTCAGCCTGAAACCCAGACAAGTGCCTTGACTGTGAATCAAACCTTGAGCTCCTGGTTCATGGGTCAATGCTCAACCACTGAGCAACACTGGATGGGCATGACTATTTCTCTGACTTGAACTGATTTACTTCTGAAATCCTAAGCTCTAATAGCCTAATTTCTGATTCCAATCTCCTATTCTCTGAATACATTCCCCCTACCTATCACCATTGCTATTCTTTGATCCCATAAAGTGTTTTTATCCTTTGTTCTCTTCATATTTTCCCACTTGATTAGTCCCTATCCTAACTTAATTTCTCCTTTCTCCTAGATTCCACAATTTTAAATTACTTTAAAGTGTCTCTTTCTTTTATTCTCAAAAACTTTTCCATTTTTCTGCTGCTCTAAGACTGGAAAAATTTAACCCTGCTTCATATCAATTTTTCTTCTCTTCTTCTGGCCTCTGGGGTACTGAGATCATACATGTGGATGAATATAACTCCCAAATGATGGTTTTCCACCTGCATCTGACCCTATGTCTTGCAATTGCTCTTTGTATTCCTATTCTGCATTTTCTCTAACTAGCATCAGAGGCCATTCAAAATTTAATTTTTAGCATTAACACCCTATTTTTTCTCTCTATGTTTATCTGGTGCATTCCCTCACCCTACTCACTTCCAAAAGATGATTTTCCATTCTATTTCTTCCATAAAATAGATAGTCAGAGATAACATTTCAACTTCCTGTTCTTTCTTCTACTCGAAAGTGCTCACACACATATACCTATATCCACACCTAAGCTAAAATATTTTTTTCCTTTGTGTAGAAGGGGTATTCTTTCTGTACAAAACTAATCCCAATACTTACACATAGAGGTGTGACTGAAGATAGAATGAATTAATAAACATAAAGGATTTGAAACAGTGCCTGGTCCATTGATTTAGCTATTTTTCTTTCCCCTTTCCATCTCTTATTAAGTCCATTAGCCCATCAATTTCTGTCCATCTTACCTGCTTTCTATAGTTAACATCAATACGCTTCTCTTTCTCATCTAATAAGAAATGCCTTCCTTTAAGCTCCTGCAGTCTCCAACCCTCCTTCTTACTAATCATACCTTTTTCCTTCCTTTCCTGATGCAGCTCTTTGAAAGACTTATCTTCATTTTCATACATTTCATTTATTCTCCAATCACCTTAACCTGGATTTCTTTCTCCACCATTCCATGGCATATCTCTCACCAAATCAGAAATCAATTCCTAACTCCAAAATACATTGGCATTTTTGTGCTCATCTCTCTTAGATTCTCAGCAGCATTTGACTTCTCTGGTCACTCTCTTCTTTAAATGAAGTTCCTCTTATTTTGACTTCTGAGATACTGCTCTTATTTTTCACACTGTTCTTTGACAATTCTTCCTTAGTCTGCTCTGTTGGCCCCTCTTCCTCTCTTATCTTGTTAAACATTTATATTCTTCAACTTATTTTTATGAAGGATCATAACAGAGTTTCTATTGGATCAGGTTAATCCAAAAAAATTCTACTTTGAGAAGGCCTTATGGTTGGAAATAAATGGCCCAGTGGCGATTGAGCCTGTAACCCTGGCATGTGCTCAGACTGGGAATCAAACTGTGACCTCATTTATAGGTCAATGCTCAACCACTGAGCCATGCAGACTGGGCTCCCTATCCATTTTTATATTACTAATTTGGGATTACATCAATATATTGTCTTGACTTTATAACATGGAATTTTCCTACGTAATTAAATACACTTTGAAGACAGCATTGTAGTGGCTGCCTGGCAACCCATTATTTGGATATGCCATCATTAACTTAGCAATTTCTCTATAATGAATGTTGGATCATTTCTAAATTCACAACCTAATACTACAATGGATTACCTTGTGTTTATACCTTTATAGATATATATCATTTTCTTTCCTGGAATGAGTTTCTAGAAGGGGAATCCTATATAATGAAAGCCTAATATGAAAATTGACCAAACGGCAAAACGACCAGTGGAACGACTGGTCGCTATGATATACACTGATCACCAGGGGGCAGACACTCAAAGCAGGAGCTTCCCCCAGCCTGTAGGCCCCAGGACAGCCAAGGCATGGACCAGTGGGGGTCCCCTGATAGCCCCACCAGCCACCCCGCAGAGGGAGGTGACTGGGGTCGGTGAGAGGGTGGGGCTGGCTGGGGGTTGGTGAAGGGGTAGAGCCCAATTGCCCTGCCGCTTGCTCCACAGATTGACCCTGGTCACCGGCCAGGCCTCGGGACCCTACCTGTGCATGAATTTCATGCACCGGGCCTCTAGTTATTGAATAAAAGGGCTTATTCTTTTTTTAAGGTTACTAGAATATAATTCCTAGACTTTTGACAATTTATACTTGGGTAGTATCACTACTAATCAACAATTTTCTCTTCTCTAATTTTGTTTATTAGAAGAAAGGGACTACACAATATGGTCTTCAGAATCTTTTCCAGAAAATCTCATTCTCTCATGATGGCTGAAAAATACCACTGATGCTATGGCAACATTAGAGCATGTGTCTCAATGCCTGGAGGGACCTTGAGGATCCCTAGGGACAATATCTGAAAAGATACATTATTCTCTATTTGCATCTGAACAGCTGAAGACATTCACCTCTCAGGTCCTTGGTCTGATTTGAATCAAGTGGGCTTTCGGAGATTTGTTTCACCAGATATGTTAATGTTACTTACCTTGGAAACAGAGAAATCACCAAGGAGACCTGAGATCCAGTTGCAGCTATGGGCTTTAGTTTCTTATTTGTAAAATGAAAGGGTTGGATTGGGTAATTTCTAAAGCCCTGTACACCTGACAGTGTATGGTGTCCTAGGTGGCTTCACGTTTCTCCTCTCCCTGGACACCTGTCTCATCTCTCCAGGTGTTTTTGTTTGTGTGTTTATTTCTTTAGATCATCTTCCTGACGGAAGAGGGCTGAGGTGTTACACAAGATGTTTGTGATTAATGAACCCCAGAACCTGCAGATTCTGTATGAATCCTTGGAAAAGAGCATCCCTGAGTCCTATAAGGTGAGAGAGTAGTGGGTGATGTGGGGAGACAGGGCTGAGGTGTAAGGAGGATAGATTCAGGGCTCAGAACCTTTCGCAGGTGGATGGAAGTCCAAGTTTAAAGTCAAATTCTTTCTTCAGGGATGATTTTAACAGCTATATCCATTTACCTACCTTACTCTTTTTCAGCTTCTTAAACATCTTTTGAGCTAACCATATTGCTATCTCTAGTAGATACTTCTTTATTCCAGGTCATTGCAATAGCTCCCTGTTTTCAATATTACTATCTCACCTGAAACTTGGTGAGCAAGAGTCATCTCTCTGAATAAATATAATCATATCATTCCTTGTTTTAAAATTTCAGTAGAGGTTCAGTATTCTGTCTGTAGAATAAAGTCCACAATCCTTAATTGTGTATACAAAGGTTTATTAAAAAATGCCCCAACTTCTTCTATTCCATCTCCCAACATTCCCTTGTCATATACCACATTACAATTATTGAGCCCCTCACTGAAGGTAGTTCTGCAGGTAGAATACAATCTGCTTCACCTTCAAGAATTCATTAATGCTTTTTCTCCTACCAGGAATTACTTGCCATCCTTCTCTCTTTATCTTGCCAGGGAAAAATTTTTACTTATCCCTCAAGGCCCAATTCAAGTATTACTTCTTCTATTAGTCTTCCACTTCCTCCCTGGGACACCACACCACCACACACATACATGTATCAGAACATGTGTCCCATTATGATCAGAGCAGGTATTTCTCTCCCCTTCCAGATTTAACTTGAAGGCAGTAGCCATGTTATTTCCTCTTCGAATTCTCTACACTTGACAAACATCTGATATATAATAGATGCACCATAAGTAATATGGTATGGTATGAAATTAAAAATTGGGAAAAATGCTATTGTTTAAAAAAATGAATGAATGGATGAATTTCAAGGGACCCAGGTTTTTTAAAAAAATATGTTTTTATTGATTTTTAGAGAGAGGGAGAGAGAGAAACACTGATGTGAGAAACATTGATCGGTTGCCTCCCACACGTACTCCCCACTAAGGATTGGGCCTACAACCAGGCATATACCCTGACCAGAAATTGAACCATCAACCTTTTGATATCTGGGATTATTCTCAACCTACTGAGCCACACCAACCAGGGGAAGGGTCCCAGTTCTTAATGATTCAGCTATTAACTTGGATTTTTGTGGATCCTTACTGGGCCATTTTGAAGCATATCTTGCAATAAATAGTCCAAAGAACTATTCTGGAAGCCCTGGTTCTATCCCCATAACTCCTTGTCTTATTTCCTATACCAGATCCAAGGCTCTATTTCAAAGAAGAACTTCCTCTCCTGTTTTGTTCTGTTGCTCTTGTAGGTATATGGAGCTATTTTTCACATTAAAAATAAAAACCCATTCAACCTGGAGGTGCTGGTGGATGCCTGGCCAGATTATCAGATAGTCATTACTCGACCTAAGAAAGAGGTGAGAGCTCAAGCTACTGAATACCAGGCTGGTCATGCTTGGATGGTCTCTCTGTGGTAAAGAGAACTGAAGCTGGTGGCTGGGAAGAACAACCTTGGTATCCCTGATTCATATAGGGTTTGAAAGCCTGTTTGAGGGAGAAGGTAAAACAGTGAGATTAGGCATGGGAATAGACCATCTAGCTAATAGTACAGTTTTGTAAATAACATTAGGATCCCATCTGGTGCATTCTTTTCTATTAAGAGTCTGATCATAGCCATGCACCTCAACATAGAAGCCTATGGATGGAAGTGGTTAGAAATGTTTGTCTTTCTCTATGACTTAATAAGCACAATACAATAATACTTAAGTCAGGATTGGGATTGAGATCTAAACCTGCCAAGTGGCTAGATGTGTGACCTTGGGAAGACAGCTGCTCTCTTAACTATAAAAAATAAAGTTGATAAAATTATTATGTGAGAGAATTGTTAAACAACAGATAAACCATGTATATTTAATCAGAATGTCTTCCCCATCTTCCAGGTTTGGGGAGTATAAGCAGTGAATTCCTTCCATCTCAGAATAGGGATATTTTACCTTCCCCCTATTTACATAGTAATTAGGTGAGTTAGAACACATCACCTGCAGTGACCCCCAGGATCCTCCGCACCCCCCGCCTCGCCCCGGGTGTCGGAAGCAGAAAGTAAGCTCGTAGGCAGGGGCAGACCTGGCCCTCTACTCCAGGTGCTGCTCTGAGCTCTGGATGATGGATCTTTCTCAAAGTCCTCTTGATTCACATGTGCACCAAGTGTCAATCGCCATGTCAGCCCCAGAGTGTTGAGTCAGAATTAGCTTAGGCATTGTCTCCTCACAGACTCAGGGTTGACTGCCCCCCACCCCCACCAACCCTGTTTCTTATACTTCTCTCTATACCAGAGGCACTCTATCTTTTAGATCTTTATCTAACCCAGATGCCTCTTCCATCCCAGACAATGGAGCTACTTACCTACCCTCCCAAGGGCAGCTGACTTCAGTACACCATCAGAAAGGAAACATCTTTCATAGAGACATAGCGGGGAGTGAGGGGGTGAGAGATCAACCAAAGCACTTGTATGCATGCATATGAGCATAACCAATGGACACAGACAGGAGGGGTGGTGAGGGCATGTGCTGGGGTATGGGGTGGCTGGGGAGAGGTCGAAGAGGGGGAAAAGGAGACTTACATAATACTTTAAACAATAAAGAATTTAAATTAAAAAAGAAAAGAAAAGGAACACCTTCAGTGTGTCAATACTGACTTATTATTCAAGGGATTCCAAGGCCATTTTATACACCTCTCTCAGAAAACCAGAGGGCATCATGTCTCTAGCACTCCAGACATAGGCAAGAACATTTGGTAAATTATAGTGCTATGTAAATTTGATTGATATTTGTTATATCAGGAGATGAAAGATGATCTGGATCACTATACCAACACTTACCACATCTTCACCAAAGCTTTTGACAACTTGGAGGAAGTCCTGGCATCCCCCCAGGTTATCAACTGGGAGCAAGCCTTCCAGATCCAAGGTAATTGGTCTGAGTGAATAGGCAAAGGCCCCCTGGTTTGTTCACAGTCGATATGGACGGGGTGATGCTGAGCCTGTCTTTTCCTCTCTCCAGGTTGCCAAGAGAACTTGGGTGAGGCAATAAAAAGGGTTTCAGCTTCAAAATCAGTGCAGGTGGATTACACGAAGACCACGCTCTTTACGTTTGATATATCAGAGAAACTCAAGACATCAAGTGATGGCAATGTGAATTTGGAGCTAACTAAAATGTTCAACATGGATGAAGCTAGCAAGTGAGATTTTTCTTTTTTTGCTTCCCAAATTCCTGATAGAATCATTCAGTTGCCATGTTAGATTAAATTTGGAAATGTAAGATTTGAGGCTAAATTATGATGAGGTACATAGTTGCATGAGTAAAGGAAGGAAACTTGGTTTGCTGAGCATGGGCAGTGCCTTCACCAGACGAGTCCTTTACCTAGCAGAATACTGTACCTCATGGTGGCACTGAAAAATCTTTACTTTTTGCAAAAAATGCTGCAAGGTATACAAAATATACAAGTAGTCAAAATAAAAAACAAAAGTTTGCCTACATGGATTCTCCACAATCTTTCATACAGGTGTAAATATGCTTAACATTGGTGTTTATGCTTTTAGTACTATGTGTGATTTTGTTGTTATTTTTTTCCTATTTTTTAAAATAACATACACACATACTGTATTGCAGCTTTTTTTCATTCAGCCAATATATTATATACATCTTTCATGTAAGCTCACACAGATATCTTGCATTTATTTGGGCAGCTGCATAGATTTCTATAATAGGGAGGTACATAATTATACATTACCATATTAACACACATTTAATTTATCTCCAATTCTTCCTAATAACAAAAATTCTGTAATAAATGTCTTCATAAATAAATCATTGCACAAGCTTTATAAATAGTTCTGAAAGATGGATTCCTAGAATTGAAATGGTTGGATCAAAAATATGTACATTAAGTGAAGATATTACCAAATTCGATGGTAAAACTTTGATGAATTTAATATGTGATAGCATAACATCTGAAACTACCTAAGTGTTTATCAGTAGGGGCATGGATAAATTCATTAAAGTATAACCCAAACACTGGAATAATATATAGCTATTAACAAGAATGAAGCAGCTCAATATGAATTGATAAGAAAAGAATTCCAAAATACATTGCTAAGTGAAAAAAAGAAATGGCAATTCAGGTGGACAAAACATTGTATACCGTATGCTATCACAGTATGTACACATGGAAAATTGCATAGAATACCTCTAGAAAATTACCTAAATACATTGTATGACTAGTTGCCTCTAGAGAAGATAACTGGGTAATAGGGGATCAGAGAGAGAAGTAATTATTTCAGTTAATATCCATTTATGCTTTATAACTGCATTACTAATTCAAAAGAATAACTAAAATATAAATTCCCACTCACACATACCATTGATTTAGCTGGGAGAGCCAACGATATTTAAATTTTTCTTTTATCTATCTGTGTTTCCAAATGCGTAGTTATTCCACAGGAGGAGGCAGGCGACAAGGCTCCAGGCCTTTAAGGAAGCAGGACTAGGATCAGGTCAGGCACAGAAAAGAGCAAAAAGAAAGCCTCACTCCTGTGCAGATGATTTAGTGCCCAGTGACCTCACCCTTGAGCAAACATAGATCCACTTTGAAATTGACAAGTTCCTGAAAACTCTTCCTCTCTGGGGAGGGCTAAAAGTTCTTTGAAATCTTCCACCTGCCCCAACCTCCCCTGCCACAGAGGATGTTTTTCTGATTTTGCAGATAAGAACACTAACTCTCAGATAACTTATCCATTGAGAGAATCAGGATTTGTTACCACCCCAAAATCCAGCATCTCCCCTATATTGATGCTTCTCAAATGGCATTTTTGATACTTCCCATTTGTTGATGGGCTTTGGGACACATGCAGCTGTAAGATTAACATTACTCTCATCTTCCTGCGACATACATTTTATTGAATTATCTGTTAAAATAAATATTATCTTGTCTATTTAGATATTTTGTATAGTCGAATTCAGAATCCACGTGTTTCCCACGTGAACCTTCAAAGAAAATTCAGCCACATGAAAGGTCGCTCTGGGGTACATCTTTGTTATTTTAGGAACATCAGCTCATTTTATTCCTCCTTGAGCATTTGCTTCGGCTTTTTCTGAGATGTGCTTTCTGCATCATAAAGTAATTAGGATTTTCTCCCTCTCAATTATTTGGGAAGATTTTGAAGCAGACAAAAAACAGTACTTTTTTGTTTATCTGTTTCCTCCTCTAAGCTGTGGGACCCAAAGAAAAGGAATGGTATCATATTCATACTCTGTAAGCCTGGTGTTTGGTAAAAATTGAATAAATTCTTTTTTTTCTTGGCAGGAAAGGAGACTTTTCGAGCATCTTCTTGGATGCCTCACATGCAGGGCTTGTGAATGAGAATTGGGACTTTGGAAAAAATGAGAGGAGCTTGAAATATGTTGAACACTGCCTCCAGCATTTTCCAGGATTTGGCTTGCAGGGTCCAGAGGGGGTTCCTATCTCTTGGGTTGTGATGGAACAGTCCTGTGAGATAAGAATGGGTAATACTGTCCCTAAATACCGACGCCAACGCAACATGGCGCAAATAGGTTATCATGGGCTAGAGTATCTTATTCAGAAAAAAATGCCGTTCTATTTTCATGTGGCAGATAGTAGAGAAGATTACATACAGGCACTGAGAAGCTTTGGATTTAAGTTTCTTCCTTGTGGCTGGCATCAGTGGAATTGCACCCCCAAGAAATATTGCTGATTGGTGCCATTGCCCATTTCGAGCCTTTCTTATCAGTGAAAACACATCAGCACAAACACCAACATGGTAATCTATATTAGTGCAAGAAAAATCATCCAATTATCTGGGGTCCATGGATTACCTAAGCTCATCCTTATGTAATATTTTAATTTTCCTCCTCATTCAATTTATAGAAAATTAGAAGCTTGGCCCATGGATGCCATACTTTTCCTTGATAGTGACAGACATTTCTGAATTAAAATCACCCAATGTCAATCATTAGTGCCAAGAGAATCCTTTAAAAGCAATATTTTCTTTTTTGAAGATGTCTTTTGTGAAAGAATCCTGTTTTTTTCATGCTTTTATCTTTGAAAATAAAAAGTCTGCTTGAAAAATGTCTCCTCTGGTACCCTCTTCTACCTCTTGCAAAGTTTTCCAAAGTACTTTTCAGAAGCACTCAGTATCATTGCTTTGGGTCCTGGGTGCTTTGGGTCCTTTGAGATGTTCTCCTGAATTAAAGTATGGGACAGTTTGATTTCCTTCTTTTTCCTTTTTTAAATTTCTTTATTGATGAAGGTATTACATATGTGTTCTTATCCCTCCATTATCCCCCGACCAGTTTGGTTTTCTGACTAGCTTTTATTATAGGGGTTTGGTAGGTTGAGTTGTGTGTCTTCATATTCAAGATGATTTTTATATCTGTGCTGTATTAGTTTTGTAACAAATGACCATAAACTTAGTGGCTTAAATCAACAAAATACAAGATAATATTATCTTACATTTCTGCAGTCAGAAACCCAAAATAGGTCTTATGGGATAAAAATCAAAGTGCCAACAAGGCCTGTTCCTCTGGAGGTTCTTAAGGAAGAATCCATTTCCTCCTCTTCTCCAGGTCGTCCTCATTCCCTGGCGGGTGGCCCTCTACTTTTATCCTCTTTACTTAGCCTTTATTTCTGTACTCAGGTCTCCCTTCCTCCTTACTAGGACACCTGTGATTACACTTAGGGCCCATTTGGATTGTAACGCAGGATAATTTTCTCATTTCAAAATGCTTAATTTAATCACCTCTTCAATATCATATAATTTAACATTCAAAGCTTCAAAGGATTAACACCTGGACATCATTGAGAGTCATTGTTCAGCCTATCATGTATGCAAATTGAGTTTATGTTTCTCCATGGGCAAAGCCACAGATGCTTCCAATATGAGACTGATTAGCATTTCTCTTTTTAAAAAATTACATTTATTGGGGTGGCATTGGTTAATAAGGTCATATTGGTTTCAAGTGTACATTCCTATAATACATGATCTGTATATTGCATTGTGTGTCCACCAACCTCAGTCAAATCATCTTCCATCATCATATACCTGGCTTCCTTTACACTTAACCATTCCCCCACCGCCTTCCTTCTGGTCAACACCATAATTTTGTTTGTGTCTATGAGTTTCAGTTTTACATCCTACATTTAAGTCAAATCATTCAGTTCTTAGCCTTTTCTGACTGACTTATTTAGCTTAGCATAATATTTTCAAGACCTATCCATTTTGTTGCGAAGGGTAAAATTTTCTTCCTTGTTACATCAGAGTAGTATTCCATTGTGCATATGTACTACATCTTCTTTATCCAGTCCTCTATTGAAGGACACTTGGGCTGCTCCCAAATCTTGGCTATTGTGAATAATACTGCAATAAACATATGGGGTACATATATTCTTTCATGTTTTAGGTTTCATGTTTTAGGTTTCTTCAGATAAATTCCCAAAAGTGGAATCACTAGGTCATAAGGCCATTCCATTTTTCATTTTTTGAGGTAACTCCATATTGTTTTCAACAATGGTTGCACCAATCTGCATTCCCACCAACATTGCACAAAGCTTCCCTTTTCTACATCTTCACCAACACTTGTTTGTTGATTTTTTTGTTGATAGCCATTCTGACAGGTGGGAGGTGATATCTTACTCTGCTTTTAATTTGCATTTCTCTCATGATTAGTGACATTGAACATCTTTTCATAGGTCTATTGGTCATCTGTATGTCCTTTTGGAGAAGTATCTATTCAGGTCTTTTGCCCATTTTCAAATTGGATACTTTGGGTTTTAGTGTGTGTGTGTGTGGGGAGAGAGAGAGAGAGAGAGGGAGGGGAGAGAGAGAGAGAGAGAGAGAGAGAGAGAGAGAGAGAGAAACAGAGAGAGTTTTTAAGTTCTTTGTGTATTGTGGATATTAACCCCATGTCAAAACTGTTATTTGAAAATATCTCCCATTCGGTGTCTTTTTTGTTACGTTGGCATTTACTTTTTTGTAGTGGAGAAGCTTCTTAGATTGACATAGTTTCATACATTTACTTTTACCTTTACTTCTCATGCCTTTGGGGTCAAATTTATAATGTGTTATCTATGAACAAGGTCCATAAATTCAATACATATGTTTTCTTCTATGTAATTCATTGTTTCAGATCTTATATTTAGCTCTTTGTTGGAGTAGAGTTGTTCATAGTATTTTTTAACAATCCTTTGTATTTCTGTGGGGTCTATTGTTATTTCTCCTCTTTCATTTCTGATTTTGTTTATTTGGATCCTCTCTTTTTGTTTCCTGGTGAACCTAGCTAGAGAGAGGTTCATCAATCTTGTTAATCCTCTCAAAGAACCAGCTCTTGGTTTCATTCATCTTTTGTATTGTTTTGTGTGTGTTTTTGTCTCTATATTGTTTATTTCTGCTCTCATCTTTATTATTTCCTTCCTTCTGGATGGGCTTTTCTTGTTGCTCTCTTTCTAACTCTTTGAGTTGTAGGGTTAGATCATTTATTGCCAATTTTTCTTGTTTTTTGAGGTAGACCTGTAGAGCTATGAACTTCCCTCTCAGGATTGCTTTCATTGTGTCCCATAGATTTTGGATTGTTGTTTTTTCATTGTCATTAGTTTCCAGGATGTTTTTAATTTCTTCTTTGATCTCATTGGTAACACAATCCATATTTAATAACAT